GCACCACACTAGCGCCGCTTGGTCGGCCCGTTGCAGTCTCCCTAGCAGACCCCTCTGGGGGTCTTGTCCTCTCTCACTTCTCCACTGTCCTCCCGTGTCCGGCTGCCCCCTCTGGCACCTTGTCTAGTCTTTACCTCCTCTCGTTCTCTACGAACTTGGTGAGTGGTGCTGACCTGCAGGATGCGGGGGTTCACCAGTTTACTCCTGCGAGTGAGCGGGTGACCCACTGCTCGGACGCTCGCACAGGCCGGCACCTGGCCACGTTTACGCGTCGGCCGGGGTCGAGCCTCTACACCCTGACCACTGAGTCTCCTTTTGTCCCTGCGTCTGGTCAGGTAGCTGCGTCGGGTCAGGTGTTTGCTGCAGCGTCCAGGTCTGGTCCTGAGTCTGCCCCCTGCTCGTGTCGCCTCCTGTCTCACGAGACTCTCTTGAGGCACCACCGTCTTGGTCACCCCTCCCTGCCTCGTCTCCGAGGCATGGCTTCCCGTGTCCTTGTCTTTGGTCTTCCCCGGTCCCTCCCTCCCCTTCTTTCGGGGCCTGGTCCTTCATGTGTCCCCTGTGTCGAGGGGCGGCTAGGGGCTGCTCCTCACTCCTCTCCGTTTCCCCCGATAGAGGCCCCGCTGCAGACGCTTCACATGGACGTGTGGAGCCCGGCCCGCGTCCGTGGACAGGGTCACGAGCGCTACTTTCTGCTGGTGGTTGACGACTACTCGCGTTACACCACAGTCTTCCCCTTGCGGAGCAAGGGCGATGTCACTGAGGTGTTGATCTTCTGGATCCGCGCAGCTCGTCTCCAGCTCAGGAGGAGCTTCGGCTCGGACTTTCCTGTTCTGCGTCTGCACTCTGACAGAGGCGGAGAGTTCTCCTCTGGCCTTCTGCGAGCCTTCTGCCGTGCGCGAGGCATCCGCTAGACCTTTACGCTTCCGGACTCTCCACAGCAAAATGGGATTGCTGAGCGCCGCATTGGCATGGTCATGGACGTCGCTCGTACGTCCATGATGCATGCGGCTGCCCCCCATTTTCTGTGGCCGTTTGCGGTTCGATACGCGGCGCATCAGATCAACCTTCACCCCAGGGTCTCCAGGCCGGAGACCTCCCCAGCTTTGCTGTGGACGGGGAAGGTAGGCGATGCGTCTGCGCTCCGTATCTGGGGATCTCGGGCGTTTGTCCGCGACTTGTCTGCGGGCAAGCTGTCCCCTCGTGCTGCTCCTTTTGTCTTCCTTGGCTTCCCCCCTGACGCGCCAGGGTGGCAGTTCTACCACCCCACCTCTCGTCGTGTTCTGTCCTCTCAGGACGTCACGTTTGACGAGTCGGTCCCCTACTACCGCCTCTTCCCCTTCCGCACTCCTTCCCTCCCCCCGCCACCGCTCTTCCTTGTGCCAGGTCCCCCCCCGGTAGACCCCCTCCCCCCTCAGGGTCCTGCCCCTTCAGGTGTGTCCCAGGTAGACGCGGTCGAGCCGGTCGAGGTTACTGGTGACTCTGGTGCTGCTGTGGGTGCTGAGCCTGGGGGTGCTGACTCTGGGGGTGCTGCGCGGGTGGGTACTAAGCCTGGGGGTGCTGGGCCTTCGGGTGGTACTGCTGGGGGTGCCGAGCTTGGGGGTGCTGCGCCTGGGGGTGCTGAGCCTGGGGGTGCTACGCCTGGGGGTGCTGAGCCTAGGGGTGCTACGCTTGGGGGTGCTGAGCCTGGAGGTCCTACGTCTGGAGGTGCTGAGCCTGGGGGTGCCACGTCTGGAGCTGCTGAGCCTGGGGGTGCGGAGCCGGCGGCCGCTGGGCCTGCTCGTGTGGCGTCTGGCGGTGCTGGGCCTGGATGTTCTCCGGGTGCTTCGTCTCGGCGGGAGCCACTCTCTCCACATGAGCCGCGTGAGTGGTTTGCCCGGCGCTGGAGGCGTACTGCAAGAGCTTCTTCGGCTGCTGAGGGTGCTGGTGCCGCCGGTCCCGGAGGTGCTCGTGCCGCGAGTACTGGAGCTGCTGGGTCTGCGGGTTCGCCTGGAGCTGGAGCTGCTGAGGGTGTTGGCGCTGAGGCTACTGCTGTCAGTCCTGGAGACGGTTCTGCTGGGGGTGCTGCTGGTGCTGGTGGAGGTGCTGCTGGCTCTGGTCCTGCTGCGGGTGCTGCTGGTCCTGCTGGAGGTCCTGCAGCTGGCCGTGGTGTTGGCGCTGGTGCTGTCCCTACTGTCTCTGGAGACCCCGCGCGCCCTCAGCCGTACTTCGTTCCGCTCCTTCAGCAGGTTCTTGGTCTTCCTCCTCCCTTAAAGTGTCCACCGCCTGTCCAGTCCCAGTCACAGCTGTCGCCGGCCTCCCCAATGCCTGCTCCTTCTCCCTACACTGGTCCTACTGGAGGTCTTGCTGAGCGTCGTGAGCCTGCGTCTCGTCCTGCGTCGCCTGTTCGTGCTGCTCGCACTAGTGGTCGCGGTTCGCGTCAGCGCCCTCCTCCTGTCCCTGGCACGCACCAGATGTCTCTGCGTCCGTCCACTGCTCCTCTGCGTGCCCCTTTGCCTTCTCCTCCTGAGTCCTCTCTTCCTGCACTTGCTAACCCGGAGTTGGACTCTCTTCGTGCTGCCAGTCCTACTGTCACGCGTCTCCTTGCTACTGTCGTCATTGACCCCTCCTTTGAGTCCACTGCTGCGTCTGCTCTTGTTGCTGAGCTCGTCGACTTTGCTGCTCGCTGTCGTCTAGACTACGCTGCTAGTCTTGTTGCTGAGTCTGCGTCTGTCTGTCCTCCGTCCGTCGGGGGTGAGTGTGCTCTTGGCACGGACGTATTTGAGGACAGGCAGGAGGAGTTCCAGTGTCTGGTTGCTGCTTCACCTCATCTCGTGTCCGTACTACTTACCCCTGAGGGAGACCCGGATGCACTTGACATCCCGACTCTGCGCTCTTACGCGGAGGCCGTAGAGGGTCCCTACTCCTCTCAGTGGCAGGCAGCTATGGATGCAGAGATGGCTTCCTGGAAGTCCACAGGCATCTACGTTGACGCAGTTCCCCCTCCTGGGGCGAACATCGTCAGTGGCATGTGGATCTTCAGGGTGAAGCGGCCGCCAGGTTCTCCACCTGTCTTCAAGGCGCGGTATGTGGCTCGTGGCTTCAGTCAGCGGCAGGGAGTTGACTACTTTCAGACCTTCTCTCCCACCCCGAAGATGACCACTCTTTGGGTGCTGCTACACATAGCGGCTCAGCGTGACTACGAACTTCACTCCCTTGACTTCAGCACTGCTTTCTTGCAGGGTAGCCTGCACGAGGAGATCTGGCTGCGCCGTCCACCTGGCTTCACTGGGACTTTCCCTTCTGGCACCCAGTGGAGCCTCCGGCGGCCAGTCTACGGTCTCCGCCAGGCACCGCGCGAGTGGCACGACACACTGAAGACTACGCTTGCGGCTCTTGGGTTTGCTCCCTCTACTGCTGACACGTCGCTGTTTCTGCGCACCGACACCTCTCTGCCGCCGTTCTACATCCTCGTGTACGTCGACGACTTGGTCTTTGCCACTGCTGACACTGCTGGACTCGCCCACGTGAAGTCCGAGCTGCAGAAGAGACACATGTGCACAGACCTGGGTGAACTACGCAGCTATCTTGGCTTGTAGATCACCCGGGACAGAGCACGCCGAACCATTAGCCTAACTCATTCACACATGGTGCAGCAGGTCCTTCAGCGCTTCGGCTTCACGTACTCCTCGCCTCAGGCCACTCCTCTGCCTACTCGCCACTCGCTCTAAGCTCTGCCTTCGGATGAGTCCGTAGAGTCGAGTGGCCCGTACCCAGAGCTTGTTGGCTGCCTCATGTACCTGATGACCTGCACACGACCTGACCTTGCATACCCTCTTAGCATTCTTGCACGCTATGTTGCTCCTAGGAGACACAGACCAGAGCACATGGCTGCAGCAAAGAGGGTGTTGCGCTACTTGTGCAGTACGTCGGGCATGGGGCTAGTGCTTGGAGGGCAGAGTCCAGTGGTCCTCACTGGGCACGCAGACGCTTCTTGGGCTGACGACCAGGCTACACAGCGGTCGTCACAGGGTTACACCTTCAGCCTTGGTTCCGGCTCTGTTTCGTGGCGGGCTACTCGCTCGTCTTCTGTTCTCGGCTCCAGTTGTGAGGCTGAGATCTACGCCGGAGCCATGGCTGCTCAGGAGCTTCGCTGGCTCACCTACGTGCTGACTGACCTCGGAGAGCCGCCTCGTTCTCCTCCAGTGCTGTACGTAGACAACAAGGCCATGCTGGCCTTGTGTCGGGAGCAGCGCCTGGAGCACAGAACGAAGCACATTGCTCTCCGCTACTTTCTTGCTCGTGAGCTGCAGCAGCGTGGTCAGTTGCGACTTGCGTACGTGGCCTCTGAGGCCAACACTGCTGATATCCTCACTAAGGCACTTGCGCCTTTTGATCATCAGCGCTTCTGTACTCAGCTTGGTCTTGTACCTGTCTTGCCTCACTTACTCACTTCTTGACCTTGCTTGTACTGTGACATATATATACTCCTGCTCTTGCTTGTTTAGCCTGTTATATATATATGTGTTCCTGCATGTGAACTGGCCTTCTGGCCTTGAACTTGTGCTCGGAATGTGTGGTGACTTTGTGATCCACCCTGAGCTTTGCTTTGTTTTGCTTGACTGGTCTTGTGACGCCTTGTTCTCCCCCACTTTGCCTATGGGGGTGTGTCAAATTATGATGTTGTGTAGGCTATAGTGGGGTAGCCTATATGGGGTACACATTTCTAGGGTTGCATATTTGTATCACTTTCGTTCCTTAGTCAATCATTCTCGTTTCAGTTCTCACTACGACATTTTCTTTATCTTACCCTACTATATCAATGCATACACGATACATCCGGCAATAGTAGACTGCTTATTACCAAGATTCTGTGGCGTCAACTGACCAAAGAGTATTTGCCACCCTTGTTTTGCTTGTGTTGTTTGATATACTTCCAGTCACCTGTCCTTGTCCTACTCTCTGCCCGCCCCCTCCTGCCGCTCCTCCTCTCCCTCCTGCTCCTCCTACCCTTGCTCCTCCTCCTACCCTTGCTGCTCCTCCTGCTCCCCTTCCCCCTGCTCCTCCTGCTCCTCCTCCTGCGCCCCACCTTCCCACGACACCTATTTTCCCCCCCGGAGCCTGCACTAGCCCAGGGGAGACCACCACACGACCAGGTGCTACAATCTGTGGCGGGTTTCCACCTGCAGGTGCTTTCAACGGAGGCTTCGGTGCAGTAGGTGTTGCTCCAGGTGTTTTCGGGCCCATGGGTGACCTGGCAGGTGCCTTCGGAGATGGGGAAGTGACAGGCGGCCGAACCAATGGCGGCTTGACAACTGGCGATTTGGCAGCTGGAGATTTTGCTGATGGCGGCTTCACTACAGGAGGCTTGGTTGCAGGGGTTGTGACTGCAGGTGGTTTGACCACAGGGGTCTTGGCTACAGGAGGGTTTCCTACAGGAGGCTTGGTTGCAGGGGGATTGACAACGGGTGGCTTGGCTGCAGGGGGCTTGACTGTAGGAGGGTTGACTACAGGAGGTTTGGTTGTAGGGGGTGTGACTCCAGGTGGTTTGACTGCAGGGGGTTTGACAACAGGAGGCTTGACTGCAGGGGTCTTGGCTACAGGTGGGTTCACTACAGGAGGTTTGGTTGCAGGTGGTTTAGCTGGAGACTTGACTGTAGGTGGATCGACTACAGGGGGTGTGACTGCAGGTGGTTTGACAGGTGGCTTGACTACAGGCGGGTTGACTACAGGGGTTGTCTCCCCACCCCCTCCTCCCCCTGCTCCCCCTCCCGAATCTCCCCCTCCTCCGCCCGTCTTGTTCTTCCGCCAGCCTCCTCTCCCCGCGGACGGCGGCAGCGGCGCGGGCGGCGCGTTGGCGAGCTGGACAAACGTCGGTTCTAAAAGCGCATTGGTGTAATAAAGGTCGACCCACGCGTCGGGCACGCCGGGCAGGCACCAGTGCGTGCAATCCCCCGGCCATTTCTCCATGCGCTTCGTCAGATCCTTAAATTCCGGGTTCCGCACGATGTCGTCGCTCCACAGGCCGAGATGCCCGTCCGGCCGCACCGCGCTCAGGCGCGTCACGCGGAGGAGCCGCATCGGGCTGCCCGTACCCGTTAAAGACAGCTTCTGCATCGCGTAGAAGTTTTCCGTCTCCTGCGTGGTCGGGTATAGCTGCGCGACGGCGGCTTTAACTACGGACGTCGCGCCGCACGCGCCGGCCTTGGTGGCATTCGCCGGCGGGCTGTAGTGCTTCGGAGAGGACGAGACGAAATACGGCACGCCCGGGTAGTCCATATTTTTCAGGTGCTGCCCGAGATTGTGCATCGCCTCGCGATACGCGTCCACGTCGGAAACTTCGACCAGCTTCCCGCCGCGGAAATAGCTATTCTTCTTGCTCCTTCCGGGAACGTTCTGCATCCACCAAGCCATGGAGTGAAATATAATCCCGTGATACGCGGGAATGACGTGGAGCAGATCTGGATCGATAACGTCCACGTCGATCTGATACCCGTGGTTGCCCTTCTTGCCGTTCTCGTTATAGCCGATAGCGGAGCGCATGAGGTGCGGGAGGAAGTAGTAGTGTATCTCGAAGCGGAAACCGGGGAAGGAGAATCCGCGGAAGCGCGCTCCGCTTGGGGTGCGGTAGCTTACTTTCTGGGAGAGGAGAATCGGGTGGGGGGAGGGAAGGGGAGCGGGGAGGATGGGGAAGCGAGGAGAGGTAGTGGGGAGGGGGGAAGAGGATAAGTCACAAGCGCATGAGGTGCGGGAGGAAGTGATAGTTTATTTCGAAGTGGAACAAAGTACGCACACACCTTTCTCTCGCTTCCACTCACCTCTCACCAATGCATACACACATACCCCCTCCCCCCCCCAACCCACGCACCCACACACACACGCACATACGAGCCCCAGGCGCGTGAACGATCGCCTCCCATCATCTGCCATTGTCCCCTTGTTTTCGTTCTCTCTCATTCTCTGCTTCTCAAGCTCTTCTTTTTAGCTTTTCTAAAACCCGTTTATGAGGCGCCTCAAAAACTTGCTATTCACTCTAGCCTGCCTAGGACATACTAATCCGGTGCGAGGTGACTTTTGAGTCGACTCAAAAGTAGCCTGCCTAGGACATACTAACCCGGTGCGTGAACGGTCCCGAGGTGATGAGGCACAGCAGCGACTCGTACATGTTCCCCATGATCGAATCCCCCACCATCAGAAGTTTCTGTAACGGGGACACAAGAAATCGGGCGCAAGAACAACGTATGCATACTGAGGCAATGTGGTGAGTTCGGTTGATTCACTGTAGCAACACCAAACTGCTATTAAGCGGCCTAAAAAGGTTATCCAGCGCGTGAAATGCGGGACGGGAATGGGGAGGGAGGAGGGGTGAGGGAAGGGAAGGGGGGAGTAAAGGAGGCGGGAGGGGAAGGGGAAGTGAGATAAGTAGGGAGTAGAGGTGGGGGAGTGAAGCGGTATCGTGAATGCAATTATTTGCAATGCAAAATCTTTCTGCTGTTTTCGCATTGCTCGCGCACTTTTCGCTCACCTTGTTTCGCATGAGTCTCAAGAAGCCCCACGGGTTGACGTAAGTCAGGTTACACCCCTCGGGTTGCCAGCGGTACGAGCGGTATATTTTGTCGGGCCTGCCCGTGCCGTCGCAATTCCAAAGCGCGCGCATGTACTTGCACTGATAGCGGCTCGTCGTATTGACGCCACTGTAACGAGGGAAGCGCACCGGAGCGGGTATCCAGCTCCCGGTCGCATAGTCACAAGCGCCTGTAACAAGAGGAAGGAATGCGCATTTGGCACGTGGGAATTTTGCAACAATGTGGTTACCACATGGTATTTCTTAGAACGATTCGACAAGATTTAGGGCATTCTTCTAAGTGAACGGAGTGACAGGGAAACGGAATGGGCTGCAAAGGTGGGATGAAACGTGCGATGTAAGGTGCAATGCAAGTACGGTACATTGTAACGGACAGTATGTGGATTCACCGCGCAACGGGAAATCATGAGCTGGAAACGTACGTGGATTTTGCTTTAATGCGAGCGGAGCAGCAGGAACGGCGAAGCTTATCGATACGATTATAGCGACGACAAGCGGCGCCAAGCCGTGAAAATGAGCCCTGCTCCGCATGCTCCGCGCGGCAGCTTCCCCACGCCCCCTGCAGCACCTGGCTTCGCCATCCTCGCTTGTTACAAGCCGTTTCGTTACAGGAACGCAGCGTCGACATATGCTGCTGTTGATCATATTATTGCGCCCACAGATCTCTAGTTTGAATTAAAAATGTAATTCTCTAGGCAGCAATACAGTTTCTCCAATTCTAACGGCCTAACGACTTGTTGAGTGATAACGGGCTCTAACTCGTAGAGAAGCCAAAGTTAAGCGATAAGGGGTTACGCAACGAGATCACTCAACGAGTGCCCCAATCACAATAATAGTAGCAGCATATCCGCACTATGATGGACGTATAGCGATCCCGTATCGGTGCTTCGCGTGAAATGCGCCGGCAAAAACATACTGCTTCGCGTGGAGCGTGGGGAACTGCGATGCGCAAAAAGAGGGGGACTAAGTCGATTAAAAATGTCAATGAAATCAATGGCTGGTGGTAGCTGTCGAACAGGCAGACGCAACGTTTAGGAAAACTAGCAAGGCCTTCAGGAATCTCACTAAGGCTTGACGTTCTGCTAGAGTCTACCTACGTCGACAAACAGCAGCAAAGGCATTCTTCGGTGGCGAGATTCTGGCCAACTCTGCAAACAACAAACTCCCTAGAGAGATTTCTTCCAGTAAAGTCGTGTCTATCCCGTTTCTAGGCGTCATTGGCCACGGTCACGTAACTCACAAAGCACATTGGTTGGTTGGACCATCTCGCGCCTACCCCCTAAAGCCCACGCCCCCAATACGTTTATGACGGCGCCCAGGGTTCCGCTGGGGCTCCACACATTTATGACGTGGACGTGTCCCGTCCCAACTTCCACTCACAAAAAGCATGTTGTGTGTGTGAGCGCGATCAGCGTTCGCTGGAGATAGCGCTTGGTTTGGGGCAAGAAGGGATGATGAAGGCTGCTGCTACTGCCTACCGCAAGGGAATGTGGAAAAACCGTAACGGAGAGGTGCGAGGAGGCGAGGCGAGGTGGGGGGAAGCGAGGTAAGCTACAAAACGGTGAAGCGAGGTGAGAAAAGGTGAGGCGCAATGGAACAGGCCAGGATTCCCAGGAGGAACCCTTCCTCCTAGATGGGGCTGGGGATTTCATCTCGAACCGCCCGTCAAGGCCACACATGCGGCTCGGAAATGTTAGGAACCCTGGGTGCCGTGGCGAAAGCGACAATAATGGATGCCCATGTCGCACATCCTCGCGCGCTTTACGTTTCGGAGTCCGCGATGAGATTTCGGCTTCGCATATTCGTGGGAAACAGGCGTAAGGGAACAGTGGCGTGGGGATAGTCGCTTCTGTAAAGGAAGGTGGGAAAGGAAAAAATAATGTAAATAAAATACACCAGAAGTAGGTGATGTATACAAGAACAGTGTTCGAAAAGGGTATACTAGGGCTTCACGACAATCCCTTAAAATGTTTGTACAACTGCTCCACAAACCCCTCAATAGCATCCTCTACCATGCTACAAAATGGTGTTGTGAAACTACAAAGCATACTGTAACTATGCCTGCACACACAACCTACAAGAAAAATATCACAGAAAAAACGCTATGCAACGACCTATTGAGGTGACCAGTCCGCACCACTCAACGCTGCGACGGCCGACGGAACGAAGACGGAGGCGCCAGCGCCGGTTGCGGTAACCAGTTTGTAACATCCAAATGCCTGCGTTGGCTCTCATACGAAGAGCTATTCAGTGTAGCTGCTCGTTCCAGTGACACTGGGAGCACATTCACCCCCCCCCCATAACCCCCATCATCCTCCCCATCCGCATACCCATCCCCATCCTCATCATCCTCCCCACTTACTCCCACCCCATACCCATATGCATCATGCACCATTGCCGGGCCTCTGGGAGCATTGCTTCGGCCGCGGCTAAGTGGCC